TGCTAGGAAACATAGCTAGTTACTAGGCAACATAGCTAGTTACTAGGCAACATTGCTAGTCAGCTAGGAAACATAGCTAGTTACTAGGCAACATAGCTAGTTAGCTAGCTGGTAGGCATTGCTGAGTCGATATCAAGATATGATATTATGATTTCCGTCTCCAATGTCCATGAAACTATGTAATCTCAAATAATGGCTGAGTGAAAAAACTGGCTTACACTTGTCAAAGACAGCGGAATTATCTGTAAGCCATCCCGGAAGTGTCCAGGTTAGTGTTTGCTTTGGTACGTTCTTTATTGTGTATTTTATTTGCGTTTACGTTATCTTTAGCAAACTGATCTTATTTTTAATTATACTGCCTCGATTTTTGATCAGCCCAAGTTTTGAAGGTTAGGCCATTAGCATTAATTTAATCAATACTACACCCCTGTCCTCTAATGACGTTCTTAAAAGTGGTAACGTCTTTAGGCCTTAGCTATTGGTACGTAATCCGATGAGGAGTTTGTTGAGTCGAGAAAAAAAACATCAGCTGTTTTAAAATAGAACTAACAACGCAAAGAGCACGATATAATATAAAGATATTCTCCTTCTATAGATATTTAAAAATTTTGTTCCCTTTGTTTGGTTGCTAGGGGGTTGCGGGATAATGATGATTAAAACGACGTTATGCCACTATATTGTAAAGTTAGTTGCTTTCAACCTCCTTGGCGGCAAATTCAACTGAGATTGAACCCCATTAGCGAAACTATAAATATAGGATAAATGGGTAGATGCTATGGAAAAGCTTCAGTTCTACTTCCTTTGTGTTTAATTGAAGCTCCGAAAGTGAAGTGATCACTTACTTTATAAAGACTATAGATGAGACAAAATGTACGTTAATCAGATAATAAAATATTTGACTCGAATGATTAATGAAGTATTCGTAAAAATACCAGTGGAAATATTGGACCGTGGATTCCACGTACGGTCATGCATATTGCATAGGCTCATAAAATACTAGTAAATTTAATCCTATTTGATAAATTGACAATCACTGGAGTAGATTCCCATATATCCCAATTTGATCCAGCTGCTAGTATACTACTATCATAAATAATAAACAAAATATTAATATTTGGATTCACCTGTTGTGTTAGACAATCGTATTGAAATAAGGAAACAACAACTATCTATAGTTCGCGGTGTGAAGTTGCCTTACGCTGTCTCAAGCTCATAATTGACATTTATTTAATAAAATATGAAAACTTTAATTTAAGTTTCCCCGGTATAAGGAGAGCTAGGTAGACTAGTCACAAAGTCACGATTCAATTCATATCAGGAATAAATGACGACACTTTCTGTCTTTCATAATTACTGTCAACAAGCAGCGAACTTAGTTCAAGTTTGTTCCTATAAAAGTAGACTCAAGAAAATTTATAAAAAGTCAACAAAAGTTTAATGAAATGAGACTAAAAAACACGGACGACTTCGCTACGACTAAGTGCTTACCACTAAATAAAGTTGGAGACATGACTTACACGATGGAGAACAATAATGTCTGATTATAATTTGTAGATGAAATTGACGTTGCTTAAATTTTATGAGAAGGTCAACGGCATGGGTTTAACATCTTCATAATTTCATAGCGTTTCAAAGAAACGTCCCGCATTCAGAGTAGAGAGAGTTAACTAAGGAGTGACGTTAAAATTATAATAGTAATTTAAGATTAATAACGCATTCAGGGTGTTTAACCCAAAAAAGCAATCCTAATTTCTTAATTAATCCCTACACCAACAAATCTACACAGAAATATGTATTGTTGATGGAGGAATGCGGGGAGCACTACTGGTTCTAATAATCCTCCTAGCCTGTCCTGGCTTAGGTAAGTGAACAGTCGACAAACTAACAGCAAATATAGCACATATAGCACGGCCATAATCAAAATTAATTCAAATATTAAGTCCAATGATGCAACTCAAATGACACGGAACACTTTATAAAGGAGCACGTAAAAAAGGCAATATCATTACTCAGTGCTAGAGGAAGAAATAATGTAAAATTATAGCTCCGAATTATCGTTAAATTATTTGAGAGTAGCGGGGATCACTAGTTGGGTTGGTTGGAGCTAACGCAAACAAACGGGGTACTTTATGAAATTGTAAGGTATCTCTTGGTGCTTAGTTAAAACAGCGATAACAACACGAGGGTCTGGTTCGGTGACCGTCTCGATCCTCAAGGACCCTCGGCATGTAAAATAGGCACTAAGCTCAGCACCAGCTCAGCACCAGCTCAGCACCAGCTCAGCACCAGCTCAGCACGAAACTTGAGCACCAGCTCGGCACGAAACTCAAGCACCAGCTCGGCACGAAACTCAAGCACCAGCTCGGCACGAAACTCGGCACGAGCTCGACATCAAGGCCTGCGCCAGCTCGGCACGAAACTGGAGCAGCTGTGTCTGGATCGCGTCATTAACGAACGTGACGTTAACAAAGTGTTCAGTGTTAACGGATATTGTAGGGGATCTTCCCTGAGCTTTAGAGTAGACACGCGATCTTATCAAGCAGTGGGTGAAGCAGGTACAAGTGCAGCAGGGTTACCAGGGTTACATATACCAGGGAGAGGCTGGAGCTGTCAATAAGTACATCAGTGTATAGTGTATAGAAAGATTCTAGTGCATTAAAAGTTATCTACTATGTTTAATAGTTGATATAAACTCTAAAGCGTATAGTATAATATGTTTGACCTTCTCATAATTTCAACTGAACTTGCAAATCTTCGAGAATCTTCGACAATAAGGCAGTAGGCACATAACATGTTGATCATGGTCTACGGAGCGCCAAATTTGTGAACATTTCAATATTCATGTCGAGGTACGGGCCAAACGATCCAGAGCCCAAATTAATGCCATTACGCTTGACTGCAGCATGGGGAGAGCAGTTCGCGCCTAGGTGTCTTAAAACCCGCAATTTCCAAGAATACCAGTACATTAGGAGTAGGTTAGGAGTAGCAGGGACAGCAATAACTCAATAATTTACAACATGGCCCCGCAAGGAGTCCCGCCGTGGTGAGTACAAGATATTAGTGGAAGTAGGAGAAAGTATAAGACCATTAGCATTTGATGATTAGTCGAAGTAGGGGAACAATTAAATACCGCATTAGATAGAGGGTTCTAAGTTTAAGACTTGTTTTGAGACTGTCAGTGTCACTGCCATCAACAGAACATAGACAAGTAGTTACGGCTTTAAGAGATGTCGAGACTTCGCAGTAATTATGTCATCAGGATAGTATGTAACCATGTTCAGTACCCCTTCCAACGACCTAAAGACTTCCAGCTTCAGTTCGCCATGTCTCAGTATTCGCTCTTACGTTGTATGAGAGTTTGGCAAACACTTGGCTAAATAAAAACAAAGCTTCCATGGGTAGAGCAATTACTAAGATGGCACTTGCTACGAAGGGAACCTTACAGAGCTATTAACTTATTAAGCTATTAAGATATTAAGCTATTATCTTTTCAACAGATTATCCAAAATAGACAGCTCTGCAGTAGCTAAGGGCCAATATATGGGAGCCTAAAAGGGGAAAAAAGGTCGGCAACATGATGCAGTTTGCACGTAGATAATAACGAAACTGTAATTATGACTTTATTATGCCGATAACTTCACTTTTATTATGCAGATAAATTTACTTATAGTAGAACTAAGTCTAGTTAAACCAACATTATAGAACGAAGTCGAGGCAGTCTTGGAGACAAGAGACATACTACCGTATACTGAAGCCTAATTAATGATCGAAATATCCCTAATATGCACGGAATTCGGCATGAAACCTCACAAAATAACATGCTAAACTCTGTTTTAACAGTGCATTGAAGAAATAATTGCAGTGTTTAGCTCCTTATAAATTTAGAGTACTTGTCATTTGATTCCGCAGAACTCTCTCATCAGTGCAACCTTCATGGATTCAGGTTCATAATGCAATGATAAATGGAGTAATCGTCCGTGAACCATCACCATTAGATAGAACTGATGACAGGATGGAGTTATTTGTAGCATTATCTACTATCAGAATTACCTGCAGAGCATTGTAACCTAATTCAAAGTTCCCTGAACTAAATATAGTATGTTTGCGTGATATGGGCTGATGTTAATGTAAAGGTGACAAAGCAATGATAGTGGACAGACATAGTCACGTTATGATTCAGTTCAAGATTCAATAAACATTCATCAAGCTTATATAGGCCGAGCCAGACTGAGTAAGATCGTCTATATTTTTTCGCCGATAAGATGAGGTAATTGTCAAAAGTTTAAGCAAATGGGATACGATGAGGTAATTGTCAAAAGTTTAAGCCTTTACAATTTTTCCTAGAGTGTTTATAATAACAAAAGTCAAATTAACCGCACAATGAAATCAGTGACTTAATAGTGAATATACCATTTCACAAAAATGCCTAGTATAGGGCCATATTATAATATATAATGTATATGGTTTGATATGTAAGACAAGAACTAAGAATATTAATATTCCGTATCCGACAAAAATAAACTCCAAGTCACAAAAAACAAAATAAAAAACCAAATCCAAAATCACAAAACAAACAAACTTGACATCATAGAACAGGCCAAATCACACAAACCCGAACTTACGAAACAAAAAAAGACCCAACCAAACCTGAAGCTCACAAATCTGTAAAAAAAATCACGAAGTTGGCTGACTCACTTGTTTCACTTTCAGGAGGAGCAGGGGATATCTGTCCACACCTCAACGTTGAGCCATGTGCTAACATTGGCACCATCCGACCTCGAACTTGTACCGCCTGTATTGGTAAGTCCGTTATTAACATTTAATTCACTTCAATTCACGAAAATACAGTGCACAATTTTCGGAAAAGAAAGGGTAAAATGGATATGTATATTTCTTTCATTAAAATTTTTGATTGTTTCTGAATAGACTCAGTGAAGACAGATTTTAATGGAAATAAATGGCTGAATAATGTATCGACATTTCTACGTCATACTCATATTCTCAAATTATTTGTTATATAGTAGTGTTGAAAGTATCTTACCTTTAAAAAGTTATTTTGTCGAATCTGAGAGTTTGCCACACAGAAATTCACCAACACATATCAGTCTGTTAACTAACTCCTGAATATTAAGGAGTAACTAACTCCTGAATATTAAGGAGTAACTGTTAACTAACTCCTGAATATTAAGGAGTCTGTTAACTAACTCCTGAATATTAAGGAGTCTGTTAACTAACTCCTGAATATTAAGGAGTAACTAACTCCTGAATATTAAGGTGTCTGTTAACTAACTCCTGAATATTAAGGAGTCTGTTAACTAACTCCTGAATATTAAGGAGTAACTGTTAACTAACTCCTGAATATTAAGGAGTAACTGTTAACTAACTCCTGAATATTAAGGAGTACTGTTAACTAACTCCTGAATATTAAGGAGTCTGTTAACTAACTCCTGAATATTAAGGAGTCTGTTAACTAACTCCTGAATATTAAGGAGTCTGTTAACTAACTCCTGAATATTAAGGAGTAACTGTTAACTAACTCCTGAATATTAAGGAGTAACTGTTAACTAACTCCTGAATATTAAGGAGTAACTAACTCCTGAATATTAATAATATTATAAAGGAGTGACGATAGACCAGCCGAGTGTGGCGTACTTGTACCAGGGTCAGAAGAAGGAAGTTAAGTGCATCCTTCACGGTCTCTTTAGTAACAACCCCACTGCTAAGTGGGTGGGGGAGGACAGCAAGGGTATTGGAACTGAGATCACTAAAGATGTGACAGGTTAGTTTGAATTTAACTCTATTTTCATTCGATTAACACTTGTTATATTTTATCACATATTCATCCGGAAAAAACACTTTCGTTCTCCCATTTCATTACTCTAATCCTAATCATCAAAAATCTTTGATTGTATCTCAAAACTTACTTTATGTTACTTAACAACTAACCCCGTCAGAGACCACGGACACTACCCAAGGAACTAAAACCACGACCCTGACACTGACAGTCGGAGACGAGGACATGAAGTACTCCTGCAAGTACACTGCTCCTGATGGGTTCAGTGTTGAGGACTACATCGTCCATCAGACTGCAGGTGGGTCTTCATCCTGTTCTATGTGGCAGTTTTAATGTTAGCAAAGAGACCAAACCAACTATATTTACCTCAATTCTCTAGTCTTTTCAGACGCAGAATCTTCTACACTCTCTGACTTCTTCTGATGTCTGGGACTTACGACCCCAGATGTAGCTTTCAACGACGTTTTAAGGGCCCAACGTTCAGCTGTTCATCAGGGTTAAACTGGGCAGGGTCTTTCGGCCAGCTGCCAGTTGTCACTCCAGGTCTTGTTGTAGCGACTAAGCCAGATAGTGTAGGAACCTTTCAGGGACACCACCGCTGTTGTGTTAAGTGCCCTCTTCTTCTTTGCCCGGGTGATGTTAAGGAAGTTGAAAATTCGGGGTAATGTGTGGTGGTAGAATCCACGACATCCAACTTCTACTGTAAAGAGATATCCTTCCCAGCCTGCGGTCTCGATCTCCACCATTAGCTCTTCGTATCTCTTCTCTTTCCGGGATCTCTGGTCCTCAAAGTTCTCCTCGTTTCCACAGGTCAGCTCTATCAGGATGACTTTCCTGAGTGTGTTAGAGTATATTACCACATCAGGTCTGAGAGCTGTGTTGACAATATGTTGGGGGAATTGTCTTGTCCTTTCGTCCTCATCAAACACTAGTTTCCAGTCGTTACCTTCCTCTAGAAGATGAGGTTCTTCTGTAAGCCGTACTTCGGGTTTCCTGTAGGTTCCTTTTCCGGATACGAACTTCCTCCACTCTCTCTTTACTTCTGTCTTTGGGGTAGCACTGTTTATCTCCCTCAGCTTCTCTGCAATTGGTTGCACGATTACCCTGAGCACCTGATCATGTCTCCAATTATATCTTCCTTGTTTAAGCGACACTGGGCAACACGTTAGAATGTGCTTTAGGTTGCACTGCTGACGCCCACAAAGGGGACAGTTGTTCGTGGAGCTGTAGTTCCAAAGCTGGAGGTTGCTAGGTGTACTTGCAACGTCGTGGATGGCATTTAGGTGGAACTTTGTCAGCTCGGGGCTCAAGGTATACAGCAGGCTTTGCCAGCCAGTGTCTAGCTGCATGGTGTTCTCCCAGGTTAGAAACTTTCCTTGGACTCTCTTATCGTACAGAGTTTGAAGGAGTTCCTCTTCTTTCAGAGACTTAATTATCTCCACCAGTTGCTCCTTTTTGTTCTTCTTCCTCCTCTGATCACCGAATCCAATACCGGCTCCTTCCCTGGTCTGCACGTAGCCAATCAGTTCTTTGAAGTAGAGGTCTCTCTCCCTATTAGTCAGCTCCTTGGTGTAGTCCCATCTCTTCTTGTCTCTGTTGGTGTTTTCTCTGTACTCGAAAACCTCCCTCACTTTAGGGTCAACCGATGTCTTCAGCATATAGGCCTTGGACACCTGTAGACATTTGTACAGGTTGGAGATCTGCTTTAACGATAGTCCAAAGTGGTCTTTTGATCTGTACAGCACACTATTCGATATGGAAGTAGTAACTCCAAGCCATTTCTTCAAGTATCTGGTACAAAGAGCCTCTAGTGTCTGGATGAATGATACTGGGAGGTTGTATATCATAATATTCCACTGTACTTTGCTAGTTAGCATGTGGTTGTAGATCCAGCACTTGCTTGGTCCAGAGAGCTCCGCCATGTCTACTTTTTCCAGCTGGCCTGAAAGTTGAGTGGTGATTAGCTCTCTCGTCTCATCTTGGCCCAGGTTGACGTAAATCCAGTGACCAAGGAACTTTATCGGTGTGTCACCAAGGTACGCTACTTTCTCGTTTGCAATGATGATCTCAGGGTCAAACGATCTGTAGGTATTGTCCACTACCTTCATTCCGAGAGCAATACACTTGCTGGGTTTAGCTCTCATCGTCCTTGTCCATGCTAAGAATTCCTCCATTTGCCCGACCAGCCTCTTCATTTTGTCGAGTCTGTCAGACAGCAGGGTGAGATCATCTGCAAAAGCTCTGTTTGTAGTTGGCTCAGAGCTGAACGACGGCTTGTATCCCAGTGTTCTGTCGACCTGAAGTAAATCCAAGAGTAGGTTGAATGCTATTAAGAATAGCACGACAGAAAGCGGGTCCCCTTGAAACAACCCGATTAGGTAGTAGAACCACTCACTCTTCCACTTCTTCGTCTTCACCCGTACTACCAGTTCGTCGTAGTACTTGACAATATATTGGACCACTTCTTCTGGGAACTTGTAGTGCCGAAGCGCAAACACTATCAGCTCATGGGGTACTCTCCCATAAGCATTCATAAGATCCACCCATACTGCATACACCTGTCTTCTCTTACTCTTTGCATCCCGCAGTTCCTCCATGAGCGCTTGTGTGTGTTCTATGCATCCTGGCATCTTGCGCAGGAAGCCTTTTTGCACAGAGGTATCGATGTACTTATTGGTGGTCATGTAGTCGAGCATTTTATCAGCTAGCATACCCATTGCCACTTTCCCACTGGTGTTAGTCATAGTGATGTTCCTAAACTTGCCAGGGTCACTAAGGTCCGTGGTCTTGGGAAGTAGGATGCTTTCTCCAATTCTCCACTGCAGGGGGACACTGTTTGATAACCAGAGTTTACTAATACACACATACAATAGTTCTCTCAGCCTGGCACACCTTTTGTAAACTATGTATGGCACTCCGTTGGGCCCTGGTGAAGATCCATTGCGTCGTGTTTTGATCTTCTTTTCAAACTCTTCGTAAGTAGGTACTGTGCACACAAAGGGGTACACTGGGTCTTTGGCATCTGGTATTCCTGCCATCTTTTCGAAGACATGACATCTATCTCGGTCCATGTATTCCTTGGGGTAGTATCTGTCAGCCTCTTCCTTGCCGAAGGTAGGCTCTCCCGAGATCTTCTCATCAAGGAGTCTTTTACTGTAGTCATAGGGGTTCCTCCTGAAGCGTTGGGTCTCCTTCTTCTTTTCTTTCTTTTTCCTCTTCTTCAACTGTTCACGCCTAGACTTGTTGTGGATTCTCACTAGTCTCCAGTACTGCGCTCTTACTGTTTTGGCACCACCAGAAGTGACTCCGCCCTCTCTCACAGCCTCTCTATACTCGCGTGCTGTATCCTTCTTCTTTTTCCTGAGGGTCTTGGTGACTGGTCCTTCCTTATTGGGCTTGTCAAGGTATGGTTTCCGTTCTTCCTGTCCATATCTGTCAGCCAAGTACTCGTAGATAGTAAGTTCCATAGTCTTTAGCTCTTTCTCTGGGTCTTTACCCTTCACGATGTTCCCGATGGCAATGCTTAGGTCTTCATCAATTCCTTTCCATTCATTCATCTTGTTTGCCTGTGGTAAGGATAACTTTAGAGTATCCTTCAGTTCTATCTGTTCTGGGGGTTTGTCTTTCGCAGAGAAACTAGCTGAGCAGGCTTCTGTCATTGTAGCACTGTGGTTTGATTCCGGGCTTGACTTCAGCTCCGACTTACAGTTGCGATCTCCCTCCGCTGGTCCAACATCCACTTCCGTTTCTGTATTCTCAGCAGCACGAAGCTCGTCTTGCGGTCTCAGTTTGCATCTCCACTGGTGTTTGGCGACTTGTTTGAACCCCTTCCCACACCACTCACATACTTGAGGTTTATCCTTAGGTGGTTCAGCCTCAGAGGTTTCATTACCAGGTTGTCGGGTCTGTTCCCCTGAGGTCAGATCATCTATTCTCCCACCCCGTCCAGTGATCATGTGGGCATTTTTCTTATTGTTTGCTGGAGTGTTGATTGTTATACACAGCTCTGCCGTGTATTCCGGCTAATCGCCCTACTAAGGCTATCAGCTTCGGGTCTTTCCCCTGTGGTCAGCAGTCTTTCCAGGCCGTCAGCAGTCTTTCCATGCCGTCATCTGCCTTTGGCAGTCGTCAACTAGTCTTTCCTAGCCGTCGTCAAGGCTTTCCCTCCTTGCAGAGCAAATCCATGTCCATGTTTGAGACCAAACCAACTATATTTACCTCAATTCTCTAGTCTT